GTGCTTCCATGTGGGAGGGTGTACCCGTGTGTTTGACAGCGTACATGCGTGTGTTTACTCAGAGGGGTCTAGGACATATGACACACCCTCATGTTGAACTTCGATCGCTAAAATCATACATATGTGTTTATTTGGAGAATGAAACACTACATGAACTCCTTTGGTGGAACAACTTGGAGAGAAAGTATGAAACTTAATATTTAAGGCATCTTTTGTTACGTTATCCATGCAAAGAGAGGAAGCAGTTGACAAGTTCTCCCGATATTTGTTCTTACAAATAAATTCTGCTGTTCTCGCTTGCTTTGAAACTTAATATGCCGTCCAGGCCTTTTTTAGTTTGGCTGAATTGTTGCCCTCTGTGATGGTGTAATTGGGGCTTACTTCTCAGCTTATCCCGGTGGTTGGCAAACGCAACAAAAAATTTTACTAGATATAATAAAGGGTAAGAATTAAATTGACCTAACTGTGAAACATCCGTGACCTCCGTGGGATTCGAACCGACGTCAGCAGGGGAGGCTGTACTACAGCTAAGGCTATGCCAACGTGAGCTACGAAAGCCCGCCGAAAGCCTTAAATTAAATCACACTTGGGTCGATTTACCCGCCCAGCCTACAACACGCATGGTGTCCACCGATACGGATAGCGTAAGCTGACTGCCCAGCCAGAATTTTCGAAGCAATCACCTAGAATCCACCAGAATTATTACTAGACATAATTAATTATTGGGAGATTTGGCAGATTAAAAAATATTCAATTGACCCCACCGTGAAAAATGTGTGGCCTTAGATTTCACCACGAAAATTTACTCCTAAATTTTGCATTTTCAAGAGCCCTTCACTCACCCTCCTTTATGTATGCGCACTGTGAATATAGATTATGTTTCCGTTTGTGTACCAAACCGGACACGCCGCGGGAGCCTGTGTCTGTGTATTTGACAGACCGATAAACTGTACATAAGTGTGCTTACTCAGAGGGACCTAGGAGCGTTTTGCGCGCTCATTCTTATAAAGAAAATTAAGCAACCACCCCGAGGCCTACAGAATAATTCGGATTTTTAAAGCATCTGCATTTAACGACCTTCAACCAGAAGGCATTCTTGCTGATAGCGGACTGGCGTACTGGATATAGCCTTTTCGGGTAGTGAAGTAGTTGCCCTCCTCTTCCTATTAGTGTGTTTTGCTGAATGGATTCACCTGACCAAATAGGAAATACCATAATTTTGAACCTCAGTTGTTAGAACTCAGAAATGTATGTTCATCTAGATGATTTATGGTTCACAGCCCCCGAAAACTACATCTTAAATGCAAAGATAATCTCGCCCTACCACCGGAGTGGCAAGTAATCTGATGTCATCTCAGAAGACGCCCGTTGTTGATAAATGCACAAACATCTTTCCCCTTCTTCATCACAGCCGTGTTGGATTGTTAGTAGGTCGTACTGCTTCTGTGTACCCATTGGTTAACTAAATGGCCTTCACTTAACCCTATATTGAAAAACGCATGGCCTCTGTGATATTCGAACCCACATCAGCAGGCAAGGCTTCAATACAGCCAACGCTCTACCAATTGAACTACGAGGGCACGCCGGGGGCCAGTAAATCGACCCAAGTTTGAGTAAATTCAAGACTCTCGGTGTGCCTTGCTAACTAAATCGGTATAGCGTTGGTTGTACTAAAGCCTTGCTTGCTGAGGTGGGTTCCAATCCCACCGAAACTACGAATTTTTCACAATTGGGTCAGTTGAATCATTCAAATCTGCCAGGCCCCTACTGATAAATGGGCTTGGGAATAAAATTTTGGTCTCAACTGCTGTGTGTTTAGTTGAGGCAAAAATATCAGGAGGTCTGCTTTTCGGGCGATGACACATTACTCCACATCACGCGCAATTACCTCTCGTCTCCATAGATTGTGCCGCGATTTGGCCTGTGCAAAGTAATTCGCCGCGCCGGCAGGACGCTGACGACCAATGACAGCGAGCTAAATGGCCGCCTAATGATCACGCCGCCAACACGCGACAGGGATGATGAAATCATGGACATGCAAAAATCCCCTTTAGACAGCTGCTCGCAACTGATGCGAAGTTGATGTCATCCTCGTAAGGCTTCACAATCAGCTGAAGTCATTAACCACAAAAATCGATGGTCGTCGTGTAGTAGGTAGGGGTCCAGTTTAAGTGTCACCATTCTGTGATCCACACTAACTGAAGTACGCAGACGTTACAATGATGGCCAACGTTTACAGGCAGTCCCGCAGTTGAGGCTCATTGTTTTTTTTGCTAAAAGGTTCAAGTTTACTGACTAGACTGCTGTGGCCTTTTGGGCGAGAGAGTAAAAGTCAATTTTTTTGTTACGAACAGGGTGTTATGCAAATAAATTCTAAGGGTAATGTCCAAGGACAAGGATATCGCCATATGACTGCCACGCACTCGCAGAATTCGTTGTATCGTGGTGTAAATACCCGTATTTAATAGTTTATAGGTCTGCAATTTTGCCTCAGTAATCCAATAAAATCTTGCTCGATACTAATAATCGAATTTTAGAGTTCACATTCAATCGCGGCTTTCCATGATTCCTGAATAGCCTCATTCCTTCGATCACTCGGCTGGCAATTTTCGGCTGCAGTAGCTGGTGGTCGGGGTTATGTTGGACTGAGTGAAAGCAAATAAACCTGAAAGAGTTCTGTATCGAGGTACCCTCAAACGCTATCTTTTCTCTCTACTATTATAGTTTCGGCGACTTCAGGCTGTCAGCTGATTGCCTGTTCGTGACGCCTACCACATATACAAAGTTTATTCACTTCGGGAGCCAATTGAATCGGTGTACCCTCAGTCCTGAGTGGATATGTGAATGTATGAATATACGTGCTTCGCCGATCTAGTAGAGGAAAAATTAAGTTCCGCTTTGCCCAGAAGCTCACAATTAGAGCCCGCACAGGCGGTCACCTTGTGACTATGATGATAGGATGTGTACATATGCATATGCATATGTTCTGCCACTGAGTTGGTTGTAGTTGAGTAGGCTTTCAGCGTCAGGCAAAAGTCCAAGTTCTTACGAACTGCATATTACCTTACGCTACATTCCAGGAGATTGGGGTTATTGCTAGGGCTACGAGGGATAGGAAATATTTGTAGCCCTATAATTAAATGCAAGGCTTCCTGTCGTTTGGGGCGCTTATACCCATGTCCAACCGCATTTCGTTCTCTCGGCTGCATATTTGCTAGAGGTGTATTTTTAAAGCCACATCTTAACAGGCAGTTTTAATACAAATCCGATCTGTGCTCTGTTATACTTCGTCACCAGCTGTATTTAAAAGAGATAGTGATACGTGAACAGCAGTGACCTCCGAACGCTTCTGTGAGCTGTAGTTTGAAAAAGTCCAGATGACAGATCTCGTCCAAAGCTGCGTACGCTATTTTTTTCTTGCAGATACCTTAAGGGATGCATCTGATGTTTGCAAGTCTTCCTTAGTCCAGGCGATTAATGATAACCGATGTCATGCTTACTATGGTTTCAGATCTCTCAAAGAGCACCCGATGCCGCTATCGCACTCCACGCCGAAATCTTGCCTTTAGCAAAATCTCTAAGTTTTGCTATTCTAGATATTAGTAAAGGGCAAAAATTAACATAATTTTATTGGAATTGAGAACTTGTCAATTTTTGGGTGCAGTTCATCAGGTTTTTGAGGCTCTTCGTCAGTGGCGACAACAACACCAACCTGAAAATGACGAATCATCGTTACTAGGTTACTTTCTCAATCAAAATGCGAAGGAACCCCCGGCACATTAGGTGACTTCATAACCGTTGGACAACCACATTTTATCTATTTTCTCTCCCATGATACTATGCAGTAATATACTCTTGTATTAATTTTGTGCTGAAATCTTGTCTTAGTCATCACGTTTTTCCCCTGCCGGGCAAAAAAGCTAGACAAATTTGCGCGAAACTATCAAACTTTAGCCGAAAGGTAAGATTTTATAATTTTGGGAAAAAATTGCAGTCCTACGTCTTCAATGGGTGCCTACGCTTTATAGGTTTTGAGAACCGTTGGACAGTGCGTTGTCATCAATG